CCCAAAAAAAAAACTTAAAACAAACCCCTCACTTCTATTCATCTCCCTATATCCTAAACCCTAGCCGCCCCTAAAATACCCAATTCCAACACCGGCGGCTGCCACTCTAAATAAGCCCCAAACCATCACCCAATGATCCCCATCTCATCCTCATCCAATATCACCCTCTTGTTTCTTCAAAGACCATGTAGATTTCCACCAATTCCAGATTTGAAAAACCTAGAAACCCTAGATTTTTTCCCTTTTTTGATTCTTCAAATTTCAAGGTTCGATTCAAGCTGAAAATTACATTAATCTATTGTTCTCAATGTTAATTTCAGTTCGTATCGAAGCTATCAGAATCAAGGCGAGCTTCCTGGATTTGCTTCAAAGTGAATCATTTTCTTTTCATTAGGTACATACTCACTTTGTTCTATCTCTTTGTGTTTTTCATTTGTTTTTTTAAAAAGAAAGAAAGAAAAAGAGTAGAGGAATCGTAGGTCTAGGTGTTTAATTGAAATTATTTGCTGAGTTTTTAAATTAGCTTAATTAGGTTGGGTTAGCTCATTAATTAGTTAACTAACAGTAGATTAACATTTGGCTTAATATATTTGTTTTAAGTATTCACATGTTGGATTTGTTTTAGTGCGTTGTGTGATTTAGAAATTTAATTGCATGATAATTAGTCTTAATTATTGAGTTAATTAGATTTATTTTGCTTCATTGTTTCTTGGGATTGATCCGTGTGATTTTTTTTTGTTATGGCTCATTTGTAATTAACAAAAACTAAAAGGTTTAATTGAAAATCAAAAATAGGAAATATTAGATAGGCATATAGGAACCTTCTGGATAATGGACAACTGTCCAAAGTTGATAAGAAAAAGATGCTGAAAATTGGATAAAACATCTGAAAAGGATAGCTGTACAAAAATTGATTAAAAAGATGCTCTTGTTTCCTTTTTTTTTTACGGCTGATAGACTCCCTTTGATATTCCTTCATTCATTTTTCTATATATAGGGATACAGACTGAATTCTGGGGGACATATACTCACTCCCATTCTCACTGATTTCTCTAAAAAAACACTCTAAAAAATCCAATTGGAATACAAAAAAAAAAAGATTCAAAGTTGCCTTTTTTCTAAGTTCTCTACTGAATCTGTTTCACTTGGCTGGGATCTCGAGCTGTATTCAAGCTTAAGAAACTGCTCGTTTAACTTAAATTTTGTTGCTGTTTATTGCTGGCTTGATTTTCATCTTTCATCTTTGTATCATCAAAAGTTCATTGGTTCTATCTATAGGTACGTGGAATTTTTTATGTTATTCTCTTTTGAATATGAGAATGATGAATGAACTGTTGTTTCCATAAGCATGTTTTAAACTTCTAATGTTGTTTATCAGATCTGTTTGTTCTGTTCTGTTCATGAATTTGTATCCTTAAGCTAAATTTAAACTAAAATCATCTGCTACTTCAAAGACTTCATATGTTGATCCACTATCTGGTTTGACCTTCACATCAGTATGCTTAAATATATTGCATTAAAATAGATTTTACTCTTTCCCTCATTTGAAATTTAGTTTGGTTTGCCCATCTCATCAATCATTCTTGAAAGAACACTTATTGAGTTAAAATTTATCAGTTATTAAATTTGATCACTAGTTGGTCAAAATTTGATGATTGAGAAGGTCCAGGCAACGTTGAAGTGCATCAATTGATAGTCTTGCCTTTCTATGAGCAATAAGGGGAATCTAAGAATTATGACAGAGGCGTTCTAATATTTTAGCTGTTAAGGTTGTATTTGATAGAGTAGTCACTGTGATGTACTATTTTATTTTTTTTTTTAAATTCCAGTAGATTCGAAGTTTGGTTTTTTGTCCCTTTTGTAATATGTTCAGTTTTGAGAGAGTAGTACCCTAGATTGATTTGACTTCTGGAATGTATGAAATCTGATTTGGAACTCTTATATTGCTATCATTGTTTAGTTACTCTTCAATTCTTGATTGTCGTTTGGATTTGCATAGTCGTATGCGATTCTAGGCTGTTGAGTCGCCTTGACCAAGGCATTAAGCCCAAAAGTGATTTAATTAGATTAGGTAATGTTAGAAGAGTTCACATGGACTCATTACAAGCTATGGGCTACCTGAGAATATTTTGGCCTGCTTCAGGAACCTGAGTGACCCGTGAGTTTGATAAGCATTAATCGATTCACTTTCCTAATGACTTAATTAGTTTAATTCCTGTGATTGGCTAAGTCGTCAAAAATTTGAACTTAGAATCACTGTAAATTTTCTTTAGTTCATCTGGGAACAAACGTTGGGATTAAAGGGAGGGCTTCTTTTGATATTGAGCCAATTAAAACAAACAACACTCTTCCAACGTAAAATGCCACAAATGCAAGACTCAAGCCCATTCCCCAAACTTTAGGAGAACGGCCAATTCATAGACATACGTAATTGCTTTAGGCGCAATTAACAATAAATCATTATGATTATGGGTATGGTTCCCGTATCATAGTTATGATACATAATTCCTAATTCGAGTGTTCTTTTGACGTGACTCAACCACAACTTCAAATAACAATAAAATAAATACGTAAATCGCGGGTGCATTTCACATGATGTGGTTTGCAGTATGTACTAAAATGGCAAGTGTACGACATTGTAGCTTGTTTAAATATATTCCATAAATACTAAAAGGGTTAAATAAATATTTAAAAGCGGTTAGAAAGTAAAAGTGCACCTAAGTCTTAAATTATGTAATAATTCAGATAATTAGGCCGATTATTAATAGCTGAGCGACCGTGCTAAAATCACAAAACTCGGGAGTGCCTCACACCTTCTCTCGGGTTAACAGAATTCCTTACCGGTCTTCTGTGTTTGCGGACCATAAATAGAGTCAAATTTCTTTGATTTGGGAAAAAGGAGGCGTGATAGCTCTGGCGACTCTGCTAGGGATCGAAACCTAGAATCTCTGGTTCAGGGTTCAAAATTCGAGCTTAGAATAACTGTTATACTTGACTTTTGTTTATTATCTGATTTTTTACGTGTTTGATTCTAATGTGATAAATGCCATTTTTTACCGCTTTGATATTGTTTGAACTATATATAAAACTGTTACAAACCCTTTTTCTCTCTGAGTCTTCTAAATTTTCTGGGAAGTTCACGCTGGCATGAATTCTTCTCTGTTTATGTCATACCCTAATTTAGAATGAGGACCGGATCAGTTACAAAGCCGGATGGCCTTTTGGTTCCCGATACGTTGCCCCTCCCCCGACTCGAGTTGTTCGCTCGGGTAAGCTAGGTCTAGAACAACACACCCAGGATTCAAACCTAGAATGACATAACCTCATGGCGGATCCCTAGTAGGTAAGTTTGTTTGCATCACGTACATTTGATTTTAGGGACTCAACACATGGGTTGGGTCCGTCTAGGACATGTGTATCCAAATTAAAAGATCATCCTAATACATTTTATGTGCTTCCTATACATTTGTCACGACCCAAAATCCACTAAGGGTCGTGATGGCGCCGTACACCGCTGCTAGGCAAGCTAACCAAAATACTTAATTAAATGCACGCTTTAATAATTTTGAAAACTATGAATTTTCCTTCAGTTCTACTAGTAAAAGGTAATCAATTCAAATTAAATATAAATGTTAAGAAGTTAATACAAGATACCCCATAATCATTCCAGAACCCGGTGTCACAAGCGCATGAGCAATTTCTAGAAAATAATATAATATAACAACCATCCAGAATACAATATTGGACAGAAAGTAAATACAATAATATGAAAGAGACTCTGTTGGCTGCAGGTCATCTCGAGAAGTGTAGCTCACCTAAGTCTCGGTATCAACCATGCTGCTACGCCCACTAGACCACTAGAGATATATGTGCATGTGCAACAAAAATGCACAGCAAGTGTAGTATGAGTACGAAAACAACGTGTACCCAATGAGTATCCCGTCTAATCTCGAAGAAGTAGAGACGAGAGGTCGACTTCGATACTTACTAGTGGTCCAATATTAATAATTGTAAAGAAATGGGAGGAGATCATAAATTCTATGAAGCAATTATAAACTCATAAAGCCAGATAATAGGTAAACAACTTCTCAAATAATAATGGATTCCCAAGATTTACTTTTCATCATCTTTTATCAATTTATTTCCGGCCAGGAAAGGCAATATCAACATTTATAAATCTCAGGCAAACAATACAAGCATGCGCATATCATGTCGAGGTCGTACGGTCTGATCCAACATAAATGTAAAATGTGCACTGCCGAGGGTCGAACGACGCGAACCATAGATGCATCTATTACCCCGCTCGTGAATCATACATGCGACACGGTCAACATAAATAAACAGACACCCTGCTCGCGAATCATACAAGCGACGCGGTCAACATAATTAAACAGTCACACCGCTCGCGAATCATACATGCGACACAGGTACACATAGAAATACATGCTCAAACAACAAATTAATAATTTATCGGGGAATGTTTATCCAAATAAAAGTCAATTCTCTTTTAGCGATTTAAGAAAATGAAGTTTAATCTCTTTTAGAAATTCATTTACCAATTCAATAAGATATAAGCAACTCAACTGCCAGCAAGATTACAGATATTCCAAGTATAGCATGCTTTTGGGTCCTAGACTACCTGGACTTACACATAATAGTAGGTACGCACGGACTCTTGTCTCGTCCTGCGTACACAGCCTTGAAGGAAAATGAATGTGATAAGACAGAACAAAATTTTATTTGAATTCCAAGTTTTAATAGAAATTTTTTATTGACGAGCTACAGCAAACCACAAATAGTAGCACATAACCAATTATTTCACCTATGGGGACAATTCCCTCTTACAAGGTTAGAAAGGAGACTCACCTCGCTCCGAAGCCTATATTCCGGTTCAAGAACGCGCTCAAACCTCCAATTCGGAGCCGAACGATCCAAAACTATTCAAATAGGGTAAGAACTAGTCAATACATGCCCAAAAGTTCATATTCTAATTATTAAACCAATTTCCAAACCCTAAATGTAAGGTTCCTAAAATTCATCCACGTGCCCGGATTCTGAAAATTTTTGAAGAAAATTGTTACCCATAACCTAAGGATCAAGAATATATGATTTTTACACCATTCCCTAACAAATTTCGTGGTTAAATCTTGTTTTTACCAAATTCTAGGTTTTTCACCTAAAACCCTTGATTTTCCCTAATTTTCACATGTTAATCTACCCATAATCTATGTCTTCGCAAATGCGAAGGTGACAGCCTCACAAAATCGATCCTTCGTTCGCAAATGCGAACTTTCCCCTAGAAGCCCAGGCTCGCAAATGCGAATAGAAACTCGCAAATGCGAGGTCGCATTTGCGACCAATGCATTGCAATTGCGATCATACCAGTACCAGCAATCCTATTTCTTAGCAAATCACTCCGAAGCTATCCCGGATCACACCCGAGCCCCCGGGGCTCCAAACCAAGCACCCTCATAACTCTAAAAATATAACACGGACTTCCTCGAAGACTCAAATCACATCAAACAACGCTAAAACCATGAATCACACTCCAATTCAAGCTTAATGAACTTTAAGATTTCAACTTCTACTTCTGATGTTTAAACTCGTCAAATCACGTCTGATTGACCTCAAATTTTGCACACAAGTCATATTTAATATTACGGACCTACTCCAACTTCCTGAATCAGATTCCGACCCCGATATCAAAAAGTCCACTTCTGGTCAAACTTCTTAAAAACCTTCAATTTTCTATCTTTATCCAAATGACCCCAAAATGACCCAAGGACCTCCGAATTCACTTCCGACCGCGCTCCCAACACCACAATCACCATACAAAGCTATTCCCAGACTCGAAATCCTAGACGGACATTGATAACACTGAAATGCACTTCAACCCAAACTTATGAAATTCTTCCAAAATGCTAACTTCCACAATAGGTGCCGAAATGTTCCCGGGTCTTCCAAAACCAGGTCTGGACATACGCCCAAGTCCAAAATCATCATACGAACCTACTGGAACCTTCGAATCCCGATTCTGAGGTCGTTTACTCAAAATCCAATCTTAGTCAATTCTTTTAACTTAAGGTGTCCGAAATGAGAACTTTCTTTCCAAATCAACTCCGAACTTCCCGGAATTCAGTTTCGACCATGCGTACAAGTCATAATACCTGAAGTTAATCTGCTCATGGCCTCAAATTGCGGAACGACGCACTAGAGCTCAAAACAACCAGTCGGGTCGTTACATTCTCTCCCACTTAAACATACGTTCGTCCTCGAACCTGTTGAGAACTACACTGAAGTAGTTTGAAATTACTGTTTAACACCTCGTGCACCTACCCTTGATACCATAACTCAGTTGAGCACCTTAGCTCGATCAATTCTGAAGATATTCCCTTTTATTCAAGCAAATAAGCCTTAGAGCCCAATTCCAACATCCGGAACTCTCTGTCAGGCCTGTTTCCAACAAACGCTCACCATATCAATAACTACACGCAGCATCAATACATGACTGCATACCTTAGCCAAATTCACACTTTGAACCACTTTACTCACAAGACCACAATAACATTCTCTGATCAAATTAGTCGAAATTCCACGAACCTGATGCTCCCAATGCACCTCATGATATATATAAGTCTTGCTATAACTCTTACAATACCGCCACGATGGAAGAGATGTGTAGAAATTCATAACCAACTGCCGAATCAACAATTCATTGGGTCTATACTCCTGACAAGAACCATCACCTCATTCTGAACTAAATAATAGTCTTTGCTCCTTAATATACTTCATATACTCAGATTGTAATGATCCTAAATCGAAAGATCTCGTCTCACCCAGTGCGAATTGCTCAGGCAATAAGCCACCCCGTACATGATCAAAAGTCTCATATGATGCCATAATGTGCCAATAGGTTACCAATTTGAACACGATACAAAAGGAAAACGAACTCTGAAAAGGAAATCCAATTA